CCTGGGAAAGCGCCTCAGTGTTCCCGGTTCACCCACAACCAAGTGACGTGCCAAGAGCCAAAAATCACTTGCCAGTTCAAGTGAAATTTTTTTCTTCCTGCAAACCAGAATCAGCATTTTCTCAGAGGGGTTCCCGGTCGCCTGAGCCCCCCAGTCTGTGCTCCCCACCCCGGCGCATTGCTGGGCAGCTGCACGGGAATTTGGGGGGCTCCGGGCAGGACGGGCGAGCCCAGGGCAGCACCGGTGTGGCTGAGGGCTGGGAGACAGCCCGGCCCTCTCTTTCTTTCCTGCCTTTGTTCTGAAATTAACACCGCTGTCTGCGGCTCTGCTGTTGTTATAACAACCTGCTGCTGCCTGCAAGAAGCAGATGCCAGCCGGCGGGGCCGTGTGTGCATGGCAGCGCTGTGCCCAGCGCCATGGCACGGGAGCTGCCGCGGCACCGCAGCTCAGCCCGGCCAGGCTGTCCTGGCTTCTGCAGGGAGAAAAGAGACAAAAAAGGGTCCTTCAGAAAGGAGCGGGCCATCAGCAGGTGTTGGCGGGGGATGTCATGCTGAGGGGCCAAAGAAAACCTCAGGCTGACACCCAACTTTAGCACTGCAGCCACAAACAGCCAAATGACTGTGAAATTACTGTGTCATGGTCCTGAGCGACACGCAGGACGGGCCACTGCAAGGTGCGGTAGGGGATGGGACGTGAAATTGTGATGATACGCTGGTTAGCCAGCGCTTTCCTTGCTGTGTTGTCTTTGGATCAGCTCTGGACCTGGATGTTTTGCTGAGCCTTGGGGATAGAGGAGGGATTCCCCCAAGTCTTGGATTTTGGCCGCTTTCCTGTAGCTGCCCGATGCTCGCGGATGAAAGCAGTTCTGCCTGCTTCCAGCTGATGCCCCTTGGTCCCGTCTCGTGCTGCGCAGAAGGGGGTTACTCCTGCCCCACGCTGTGTGATGCCGCGGGTCCACTCAGCTGCCCCGGAGCTGTTGTGTTGAGCGTGACACTTTTTGTTCTGTTCTGTAGGATGCCAAAAAGAAATACGACAAGGAGACGGAGAAATATTGTGGTGTCCTAGAAAAGCACTTGAACTTGTCTTCTAAGAAGAAAGAATCCCAGCTGCAGGAGGTGAGAGCAGCCTCTGGTTTTCCATGTCTGGCCATGACTGTGTTGAGCTTTTGCAGTGCTTCAAACAGCTTATAGCATTTGTTCTTCTGGCTGTAAACTCATTTTTTTCCCCCCTCATTCTGGCTGTGAGTGGCGGGTTTTCCCCTCTTCCTGTAATCAAAGGGGACAGAGCTGTTGTGGTGAGTAAATCAGAGAGATCCCGAAATGGATAGCAATCAAAAAGGAGAGAGAGTTTATAATTAAAGAGTGTAATGGAAAGGAACTGGTTCTGCTGCAGGCTTCCCTTGCGCCAGCACAGATCACGGGTGTCTGGTTCCCTGCTCTGGAAGCGGTTGCACTGGCTTTGGGCTTCCTGGGAGGAGGGATCAGGCTTAGAGCTTTTAAACTGCTTTGGGAGCCTATTCCTGCCGCGGGCCGCCTCTAGCTGCTGTGCCAAATGCTCTTACTGGATGAGCACGCTGAGTTTTCAATCACTGCTTCCACGTCTGGAATTCCCCGCGCTGGCCCAGAGCTGGGCTGGCCCCTGTAGGGTGCATGTCCTTGCTTTTGGGCATGGTGCTGGTGCCTCACTGGGCTGTTTCTGGGGGAACTGGTGAGCTCAGGGATAGCTCAGGGGGTGGCACAGTGTCCAGCGGAGGCGGGGACTTGAGAGCAGATACATCTGCGGCACAAATAATCATCTTCCACCAAATCAGGGTTGCAGAGGGGTAAGAATCGGAGCTGACGTGCCTGCAAGCCAGCTGTGTCCTTGCGTATGTGTTCTGGGTTTGTAATTTACCATGTGGGAGCACCCATACGTCCCAGAAGATGCAAAGTCCCCTTCTCCTGGCTTTGAAATAACCCTTTAAACCTCTGTTTAAGTTTGAAATACTATTGTGAGACAGAGGAGCAGAAGAATTTCTTTCTGGGGAGGGAAGGAGCCACTTGTGGCTGTCAGGTTGCAGCAGTGACTTTTGGAGATGTGACCCTGTGCCCTGGACAGAGGATGGTCCCACGAGGCTGCCAGGGAGCCCAGAGCAGCAGGGAGGTGGGATGCTGAGCAGAATGGAGGCGGGATGCGGGGGGTGGCTGTG